GCTTGCACCGGGGAGGCAGAGGTTGCAACAAGCCGAGATTTTGCCACTACCCTCCAGCCTGGGCAATAGTGCAAGACTCCATCTCAAAAAAAAAAAAAAAAAAAAGTATATTGTATTGATTGGGTCTTCTCTTTTTTGGACAAATATATTTCCCTACATGAACAAATTTTAAAATAAAAATTTATTTCCCATTTAATAAGAGATTTGCTTATTACCGACTGGCTTTCTGTAACCACCAAGCGACTAACCACCACTCCACTATGTGGAGGCAAAGATACCCTTCTTTCACATCTGCTGTCTCACTTTTGCCCTGTTTACTTGGTCTTCCTCATTTAGGTTGGTCTGCTTTCCACACCTTCTGAATTGTGCAACCTTTTTTTTTTTTTTTTTTTTTTCTGAGATAGAGTCTTGCTCTGTTACCCAGCCTGGAGTGCAGTCATGCGATCTCAGCTCACTGCAGCCTCTGCCTCACTGGTTCAAGTGATTCTCCTGCCTCAGCCTCCCTAGTAGCTGGGATTACAGGCATGCGCCACCATACCCGTCTAATTTTTATATTCTTAGGAGAAACAGGGTTTTACCATGTTGCCCAGGCTGGTCTTGAACTCCTGGCCTCAAGTGATCCACCCATCTTGGCCTCCCAAAGTGCTGGGATTATAGGTACGAGCCACCGTGCCTTGCCAGTGCAACACATTTAAGTTCTGAATTCCTCCAGAAAAAATTCTGGACAATGCCCTGTAGATAGTTGGTAAGAAATAAAAAATAAGCAGATCTTCAGGAAAAAATGAATTCTTCCTTTAAAATGTTTTGCAGCACAGTAAAATCGCTCATAACTCTTCAAGATTTCCCTTGGTTTTTCAAATATGTTTGTCTATTGCTACAACTAAGACCTTTACACCCATTATCTTGATTACTAAAATTTTTAAATTCCTCCCATTAATTTTTCAGTTATTCATTAATTCAGTTTTTCATTCAATAAACAGTCTTTGAGCATACACTATATGCATACCACTTACTGTAAATTTTTCTTTCCAAACTAGTATTTTAGGAGAAAGGGTCTCCTTGTTGCCCAGGTTGAGTGCAGTGGCTATTCACAGTCCTCATCCCACTACTGAACAGCACCGGAGCTCTGACCTGTTCCATTTCCAACCTGGGTGGGTTCACCCCTCCTTAGACAACTTGGTCTCCTTCATGCCCACTGCCAGGAGGTTACCATATTGATTGTGAACTTATGCGGACATGCAGAGCGCACCACAGTCCAGAAATCCTGGCCTCAAGCAATCCTGCTGCTTCAGCCTCCTGAGTAGCTGGGGCTACTGGAGCATGCCACCATGCCTGGCTACAAACTATTCTAACCAGGCATGGGAATGAGAACAGTCAAGAAGTGATAGATTATCATAAAGCAGAATGAATAACTCCCAGTATCAGTCTCAGTGGAACAACAAAGCTGACACCACCATTAATTCTTCCCTAAATTAACATTTAGTACATGTGGACATTGCTATCCTTATTACGTGGACAAATCTAAGGGATTGTCTTTGTACTCTAGGTGAAAGGGCCCTCCGTTTGACCCCTCCCTGCCCTTCCAGCTAGATCTCATAACAATCAAACACCACTCCACCTTCTTCCTCATTCTCCAGGTATTCACCAGCCCAAGAGCTTCACATCTCCAGTTTCTGCTACCTGGACTGCTCCAAACTCCCACCCTGTCCTTCCCCAATCAGGTTTAGTGGTTCTTAGACTTCTATAATTTCAAATCTATAAAACGGCAAGAAAAATAGAGTGGGGTGTGTATACTGAACTAAGATTGCCAAACTTTTGGTCAAATAAGGACCCTCAAAACTAACAAAATGACCCTCATATGTTATCACTGTAATTTCATTAACAAATATATATTTTACCCACAAAAAAGTAGGAAGGATATAATCTCAAAATAAAAGATAGATTATTTAAATTAAACTAATTTAACCTCATAAAAACTCACTACATTGTCCTCAATTTTTCTGACCATTACTCCCAATTTCTGCTGCTCCCAACCTGGTCCAACAGTCCCCATAATGTCATCTCATGCCTGGATTATCACAGTCGTCTCTTACTTTACTTGCTCCTTCCATCTTTTCTCCTCTTACATCTCTTCTAAGCCCAGCAGCCAGAGGATCCTCTTCAATAGGAATTACCCTCAAAACCCTTCATTGACTCCCCAGAGTAAAATGCCAAAGTACAGGAAATTTTATCATCTGCAACTCCAGCCCCCTAAATCTCTAGACCAGTACTGTCTCATAGAAATATAATGTAAGCCATGTACATCATTTCAATCTTTCCAGTAGTCACATCAAAAAAAAAAAAAAAAAGAAAGAAATCTAGTGGCATATTTTATTTAACCCAATGTATCTAAGTAATTATCATTTCAACATGTAATCTATATAAAAATTCTTAACACAAATTCTACATTCTTTTCTTCATACTAAGTCTGCACAATCCAGTGTGTATTTCCACCCACAGTCCATCTCAATTCAGACTGGCCACATTTTCAAAGGCTCAAGAGCCACAGGAGGTTAGGGGTTACTACCTACCATTGTGTTGCACAGAGTAGATCTAGACCTTTCTTGTGCTTCTCTCCCTTCCCTCAGTGTATGCCAGGCTTTGTATTTGCTGATCCTTCCCTGCAGGACTCACTGTGCTCTCAGCTTCTTCTGATCTTGACTCAATTGTCTCCACTTCAGTGGGGCCTTTCTGGCCACCTCTGTAAAGTCAATACTCCCCTCCTACCCTCCCTACCATATACAGTCTTTAATCTGCTAAATATCTTTTATTTTTTTCTTTATGCTTAACACCATCTAACAATTAAACATTTTATTATACAGTGTGGCATACTGCCCCTAGCTCATGAGGCTCATGTCTTCCTCAGTGCTATATCCTCAGTTCTGCATCAGAACAGTGCCTAACAGATAATAGATGCTCAATAAACATTTGTTGGATAAATACATGTCACTGAAGATCAGAGAAAATTTTGTACAAACCAGCACTGGACATTGGAAGTCATTAAGCTAACTAACTCTTACATATATTTAAATTTTAGCTTAAACCACTACTTTGTCAAGGAACAGTAAGAACTAACACTCCAGTGTTTACCTTATACCGGCCACTGTGCTAAATGCTTTGTGTGCATTATCTCTTATCACACTCCCAGCCTTTTGAGGTAGGTATTGTTATTTTATCCATTTTGCAGAAAAGGAACTAAAGCTGTGGAAAAGTTGAGTAAGTTACCTAATTAAAAAATGAGAACGCAGATGTGTCTGACTATATCACCATGCCAGATCTTGACCATGCTGGTCCAGGCTGGGCCTAGGTTGTATTTTTCATTGCACTTGTAATTACTTATTTTTTATTTATTTTATTTATTTATTTATTTATTTATTTTTGAGATGCAGTTTCGCTCTTGTTGCCCAAGCTGGAGCACAATGGCGTAATCTTGGCTCACTGCAACCTCCGCCTCCCAAATTCAAGCAATTCTCCTGCCTCAGCTTCCTGAGTAGCTGGGATTACAAGCGCATGCCACCATGCTCAACTAACTTTTTGTATTTTTAGTAGAAATGGGTGTCACCATGTCAGCCAGGCTGGTCTTGAACTCATGACCTCAGGTGATCTGCCCGCCTCGGCCTCCAAAAGTGCTGGTATTAAAAATGTGAGCCACCCTGTCCAGCCTGCACTTGTAATTACTTAATGTCAATTTTCCCTACTAGACTGAGGTCATGGAACCTTATTTTCTGTTTGTCACTCTGTCACTAATGTCTAAGCAGTGGACAGTATTTGTTGATTGCTGTCTTAATCAGCCATTCACTGGGTTAACTCTCATTTAACTTCACATCCTTTGAATTATTATTTACAGCATTGCATGTCAACTAGTGTGTAATGGGTAATGTTTCAGGCCATCAGGTATCTTACAGAAACACCTTTGTTCATCTACCAAAGGTCACATAAAAGGTTAGAGTCTAGGTCCTCTTCCCTAAGCTACACCTAAACTTGTACTGGATAAAAAATTACATTGAAAGTTTTTTTTCTATTTATTGTTTTTACTAAAAGTTGCTTTCCCGCCACTCCTTCAGTATCACAGGTCAAACGTGATTTTTAAAAAATGCTTTTTTATTGTTGTTGTTGAGACGGAGTCTTGCTCTGTCCCCCAGGCTGGAGTGCAGTGGCCCGATCTCGGCTCACCGCAAGCTCTGCTTCCCAGGATCAGGCCATTCTCCCGCCTCAGCCTCCCCAGTAGCTGGGACTACAGGCGCCTGTCACACGCCAGGCTAATTTTTTGTATTTTTAGTAGAGACGGGGTTTCACTGTGTTAGCCAGGATGGTCTCGATCTCCTGACCTCATGATGCGCCCTCCTCGGGCTTCCCAAAGTGCTGGGATTAGAGGCGTGCGCCAATAAAAAATGCTTTTTAAAAAAACTTGAGACAGGGTCTCACTCTGTCACCCAGGCTGGAGTGCAGTGGGATGTTTACACTGCAGCCTCCACCTCCCAGGCTCAAGCAACCTCCCACCTCAGCCTCCCGGAAAATTACTCTTGGCAATAACTATGGCAATGTAGCATTGCTTTCTGTTGAGTATAATCTTTTAAACCACTGATCTCATTAACAGCAAGTAGCCTAGGACTTTCTCTTAATAGGTACAAGCTTCTTAGTCTTTTAATATATAGCTAAAACAATTACTTTTTCCCTATGTTTAAAATAGAGGGATCAATGAAATCAGGTTCAGGAGAAAATTATGAGTTATCCTTAGGGCAAAAATGGGGATCAATTTACAACGGGGCAGTAACTGGGACTCTTATAACCTCTAGGTCTGTTTATCATGTGATCATACAACATATTAATTCATGCCCTCCCATCTGCAAAATGGCAATACTAATTTTTTTTTCCTCCCTGCTTTACAGAGATGCCGTAAAGGGTGGTTGCCAGCAAAATGCAGACATGTCCACAGAGTAAAACATAGTAAGCACTGTTACCTTATTTATATCCCAGAGAACCAGCTTGCTTTTAAGTTTAGCAAATTCATAGGCAGTCAGTCTCCCAATTCCATGCCCAGCTCCTGTAATCAGCACGATTTCACCGGCGACTGATTTTCTCCTCTTAGGAATAAAAAGCTTCACGAAGGACTCTAGGCAGCAGACGATGAGTAAGGGGAGAAGCAGGAGGAGGTCCAGAAGGAATTTCATCCTTTTTGTTGCTGGGAGCGTTTGGTGTGTCTTTTCCAACCACTCTAAACTGCTTTTAGAGGGTTGCTCGATCTAACACCAGAAAGAGTAGGGGCGAGAGCAAGGAAGAGCTCCCCTATCAAAGAAAAACAACTCCGAAACCGTTCCTTCCGCTGGGCTGGGCTTTGTTGGTCTTTCGCAATTGGCTCGGGCTGCAGTGCTTGCTCGCTCAGAGATCTGGGAGGGACGAAGTCCAGACCCGAGCAAAGCTTCCTAGTTCTGCTTCGCGCAGCCCCCAAACGATGTGTGGCCGCGACTATCTTTTACCCACTTTCTCCCGGTGTCGTGAGCCGGCCGTGGAGGGTTAGCTGCTCACTTGTTTTCCTAAACTGGATAAATTCCAAGGATAACCGACAGTATCCGCAAACCAGATGCTTCTTTCAAAGTTGAAGGTTGCTTATCGCTAGATAGGGGTGCCGCTGGGCGTGGCGGCTTTCGCCTGTAATCCTGGCACTTTGCGAAGCCCTGGAGGGAGAATCGCTTGACCCCAGGAGTTCGAGATCAGCCTGAACAACATAGGGAGACCCGTGGTCTCTTATTTTTTTATTTTTTTGGTAATTAGCCAGGAGTAGTGGCGCGTGCATATAGTTCCAGCTACTCGAGACTGAGGCACGAGAATAGCTTGAGCCCAGGAGGTCGAGGCTACAGTGCGCGAAGATCGTACCGCTGCACTCCAACCTGGGTGAAAAGGCCAGACTTTGTCTTAAAAAACAAAAACTAGATAGAGGATGCAAATGTAGATTCCTATCTTAAAGGATCTTGAAAAGAGCAAGCGTTCTGCTTCCAGCTGAAAAATTACGCTACATCACATTTTAGTTTGAACTAAGCACGATTTCTGAAGACGGGAAATTTTGTCTGTTCAAGGACAGCTATAATCAAGCGCCTGGAAAAATTGTTACCGTATTAAAGGGACTGTTTCCACAAGAAAGAAGAGTATATTTGAATAATCATTTTTCACTTGACCTATCAGAGTTTGAAAAGAAAAAATATACATTGTACTTTAGGAATTTTATCTTTATTCAAGTGAATAAATAAATAAATAGCAAATCATTTAGCCTAAAGATTACCTATGTAACATTTCGTTTTGTAGCCTATATAAATGGGTGTTCAGTATATGTTAACTGGTGACTTGAAAAAATTCTAGAGATTGATTAAGGGAAGAAAAGACCTAACTAGGGCTTGTGTGCAGTAAGAGCTTAATAATGGTATTGTAAGCAATTTTTTCCAATTCATTTTTCACAGACATTGAATGTGGGTTTTGCGCAAGACACGCCAGTGCTTGGGAAGAGACTTCGTTGTGTGCCAGTGGTCAACTTTTATATTTAAGAGCCAGAAAGATCACAAAGAAAATCGAAGTTCACAAATAGTTCATACTCAATGGTCCCTCTTACTTAAGCAGCCATACGTTGTTATAGGGGATGAAGGGATAGTGGCAGCCTCACAAATGTGAGCTCTATTGTGGAATTCTTTGAATTCAGAATATCATCTACAACGTTTTTTGGATAGCCTCCAAATCCAAATTTACGAAACACTTGTATAGAAAGTTTACCAAGTGTTTTTCCACATATATTATTTCATTTGATTTTGAAAAGCCTCCTAGGAAATAGAGAAGAAAAGTAGAATAAGGATATATTTATACCCCATACTATAAATGAATAAATCTGTTAGATCAACTTTAAAGTCTATACAGCGAGTAAAAGTGTAACTGGGGCTACACATATGGTCAGTGTTTATCAATTTTTTTTGTTCAACACCTACAGGAATAAATTACACATCTTACATGGTGATCTAGTATAAGAAGTGTTTCAACTATATTGACTTTCATATATTGAGGCTCTGGCTATGCTATTTCTTTTTCTTTTCTTTTCTTTTCTTTTTTTTTTGGAGAAGGAGTCTCACTCTGTCTCCAGGCTGGAGTGCAGTGGCGAAATCTTGGCTCACTGCAACCGCCACCTCCCAGGTTCGAGTGATTCTCCTGCCTCAGCCTCCCGAGGAGCTGGGACTACAGGCATGTGCCACCACACCCAGCTAATTTTTGTAGTTAGTAGAGACGGGGTTTCACCATGTTGGCCAGGATGGTCTCAATCTCTTGATCTCGTGTTCCACCTGCCTCGGTCTCCGGAAGTGCTGGGATTACAGGCGTGAGCCATCGCACGCAGCCTGGCTATGCTATTTCTCATTCCGTTCTATTAATAAAAAAAAAACTTGGTAGTTTTAACCTACAGTTGATAAAGGTTTCATTGGTTAAGGGAAAGAACACAGCATTTGGAAGCAGTCATACCTGAATCCCTTATGTGTGTGTGACTTCATCTCTCTGAACATGTTTCTTAATTTGTAAAATTGAGATAACTAATACTTACCCTACAGGATTCTTGTGAAGTTCAAACGAGTTAATAGAAAGCACATTGCTTTATCAACTATTCAACTCTACGTAAATTTTAATTAACACTAATAGAATGTGAGTGATGTGAATAGTCTTGTGAATGATGGTTGTAACGTGAATGATTTTGTGAACAATACACTAGATGTTTACAATTAAAATTGTTCACAGAACACAGATTAGCTTCTAATCTGACGGTTATGTGATTTTATGTATTTGTGGTTTTAAAAAATATCTTTCATTGGCAGGGTTTAAAATATTTTGTACTTGGGACATCTGTTTTTAAAAAAATTTTTATTTATTTTGAGACTGGATTATGAGACTAGCGAATTTTTGTATTTTTGGTAGAGGCAGGGTCTCCCTACCCTGGTAGAGGCTGGTCTTGAACTCATGGGCTCAACCGATCCACCAGCCTTGGCCTCCCAAAGTGCTGGGATTACAGGTGTGAGCTACCGCACCCAACCTGTGTGGGACATCTTAATTTCATGCAGCCTTCCCAGAAGTTGAAACAGTATTAAAAAAAAAAAAAAAAAAGATGAGGATAAAGGGGTCTTTCTTTCTTTCTTTCTTTTTTAGTGTTCAAAAACGCTAACTTGAACCAGAAGAATAGGGATCTTTCATCAATGTCTTGAACACTTGCTATGTCCAGGCATATGCTAAGTGCTTCGCATAACACATTTCATTTTATCTTCTCAATAACTTTAAGCAGTAGGTTCAATAGAAATCTATGTTATATGAATGAAGAAATAAAGAATTAAGAGAAATTAAGCAAACCACTTGAGGTCATAGTGTAAATGTAGAGTTGAATTTAAACCTAGGCTGTCATCACCGACCTTTTTTTTTTTTTTTTTTTTAACTGGGAGTCCCAGCCAGAGCAATTAGCCTTCTTCTTCTTCCGTAGGGCAAAAAAGAAAAGCCTATCAGTTCTGAACCATTAGATAAATTCAAAAAGATCAAAACTCCTGATTTTGAATCACAACATTAATAACACTTCCCTTTCATACAATTAGGTAAATACCTAATTAGCAGGCAATAGATTGCAGCTGCTAAAAGAAGGCGTTTGACATGTTCTCACTCCCAGGTGGGAACTGAACAATGAGGTCACTTGGACACAGGAAGGGAAACATCACACACCGGGTCCTATTGTGGGGAGGGGGTTGGGGGAAAGGATAGCATTAGGAGATATACCTAATGTAAATGACGAGTTAATGGGTGCAGCACACCAACATGGCACATATATACATATGTAACAAACCTGCACGTTGTGCACATGTACCCTAGAACTTAAAGTATAATAGTTTAAAAAAAAAAAAAAAAGGCATTTGAATTCCTACCAAGCTTTTAATGAGCTATGTGGTATTTGGTTAATTACTTAACCTCTCCTGAGGTCTCAGTTACCTCATCTGTAAAATGGATGTAATAGCAGCTTGGTTGCTCTGAAGAGTAAATGAGATATATATAAAGCACAGAGTCATTCATAAGAGTAAAAAGCACAAGGGTAAATGAGATATATAAAAGCACGTCTTGCATACAAACATACTTAGTGAATGACAGCCATTACTATATGTTAATCAGTCATCAGTAAGAGGCCTGAATTTGTTAGGCTGACTCTGTAGTATCCCAGCAGATTAGGAATGAAAGACCACCGTGACACTTAGCAATTACACAGGCTAGTGCAGAATGCTCACTTTCACTCTAAAGAATACTGAGGAAAAATATACAGAAATGATTGCCCCACCTGCTAACAGTGGTATTTCCCATAGTTTTCTTGTCATCCTGAGATAGAAGACTTCCCAGTTTGACTCCAAAATCTGAATTTTAGAGCTGGGGAAATTTAGCCATTAGCTTGTGTGCAATGACGCATTTTTTTTTTTCAATAATGAATCTATAAATTCAAAGTAGTACTTTCAAAATTGGAGTCAATGCTCTCAAACCCTACTGCTATTTTATAAACTAAGTTTATGGAATATTCTAAATCCTTGTTTTCATTTAAATATCTTCCCGGCATCTTCACTAGAAGTAGATTCCATTTCAAGAAACCAGTTTACCTTGCACTTGTTTATCTGATGGAGCTGACTTCTTTCCTTAAACCTCAGGAACCAATTTCCACTAGCTTCAAACTTTTCTTCTGCAGCTTCCTCACCTCTCTCAGCGTTCACAGAATTAAAGAGAGTTCGGTCTTGAACTGGATTAGGCTTTGGTTGAAGGGAATATTGTGGCTGGTTAGATTTATCCAGACTAAAACTTTCTTCATATCAACAATAAGGCTGTTTCACTTTCTTATCATTTGTGTGTTCATTGGCATAGAACTTTTAATTTCTTTCAGTAATGTTTCCTTTGCATTCACAACTTGGCTAACTGTAGATGCAAGAGGCCTAGCTTTCAGCCTATCTTGGCTTTCAACATGCCTTAAGTTTAATCATTTCTAGCTTTTGATTTAACGTGAAACACATTTGAGTCTTCTTTTCACTTGAACACTCAGAGACCACTGTAGGGTTATTAATTGGCCTAACTTGAATATTGCTGGGTTTCAGGAAACAGGAGGCTCGATTATGGGGAGCGGGTGAGAGGGTTGTAGGGAGACAACCTGTTGGTGGAGCAGTCAGACACTTGATGCTTATTGATTCAGTTTGCTGTTTTATTCAGATATGCGGTTTTTGGTGTCCTAAAACAATTACAATAGTAACATCAAAGATCACTGATCACAGATCATCTGAACAGATATAATAATAATGAAAAGGTTCGAAATATTGTGAGAATTACCAAAATATGACACAGAGACATGAAGCGAGCTTTAGGAAAATTGTGTGGATGGACTTGTTCAATGAAGGGTTACCATAAAGCTTCAATTTGTAAAAAGCACAATATCTGTGACATGCAATAAAATCAAGTGCTGTAAAACAAGGTATGCCTGTCATTTGTCGAATGTTCTATGGTTCATAATATGCGAATCTAGGTCTCTCTGACTCTGAGGTTATACTCTTGAAATGTCCCTCCCCTCTCCCATTTTTTTGGCCTCTAAGATGTCTTTGGATTTGTAAAGACTAGAGAGAAGA